TTATGTCTTTCATAATGGGAGTCAATGCAATTTAACAATTAGATTAGCTACCCTTTGATGCACAAGTCTGACAGAAGGGACATGACTAGATTATGAGCTTAAATTTGTTCACCTTAGAGGTCCCTAAATTACACTAACAATCCACTAATCTATAATTCGGCTTTTGGTGGCTCTACAACTATTAAATTGATTTCAGAACTTAGACTTTCAGCTGTACTCTGCACCAAAACACTTCATGAAAGATGACAGATTACACAAGTCTAACTGAAAATTAGGTTTCTCAATGGAACATCCATTTAAGCCATATGATCAGCTAAAAGGCCAAAGACCTTCGGGCAGTACTATGCCAGCCAACGTAGCACTAAAAGAGCAGCCCCAAAAAATTCCTTTTTTGGCTAGTTAACCATCCAAGGACAATCGGACAATATTAAGCAGCAGAAATGAACCTACTAAACCAAAAGTATGCTCTCCAAGTCAAATGAACTTAGCAAATTTCTTCCAAAAATTTCATTTTTCATATCTTTTCTCCCAGATATTTTGAGAAATTTCACTTTTTCTTCACATTCTGCTCTCAAGAAAACATAAAAGCCCATAAGCATTGCATGCACTCCCTCCCCCAACTATAAAATGCTCTTCCAGTCCAAAAGTAGATCAAAAGATGGCAGTATCAGATCAGTGCTTTCCATAAGCAAACTAAGTAAATAGAACTTACCACCAGATATGTGTACCAAAACTTTTCAGAGATGATGGACGTCAATTGCACAAAACTTGTAATGTAGATTACATCATGTAAATAGCTGCAAGAAATGAGCAACAGCAAGTCAGAGTAATTTATTGCATGCAGAAAAAAAAACTATTACAGATTGTAACACAATAGATTGAATCAATTCATAATGTTAACAGAACTTAAATATGAACAAAAATATTTGAACTGTCCAGTTCCAGTTAATATGTAAATGAAATTGATGCCAAATAAGAAAATTAAGAATACCTGATTTCACAGTTTAAAACATACACAGTATGATTCTCTACAAACGGCTTCTCCTCCTTCAATCCCCTCCCTCCCCTCTCATCTTATTCCTAAGTTCTTGAATCAAGAAGGACAAATTCTCCTTTTCTGAACACTTTTATCCCCAACACAATCATCATGACTAACATTGGTATATAACTGTACTTCATTCATAAGCAACAATAAAATATCTCATTCTTTCCCACAATAAGCATACATTCTCATTTTATCATGTCTGGCAGATTATATCTTAGCTGATGATAGCTGCCTAAATGCAAGAAAAGTATCCACATTTAAAGTATTAAAATCCTAACACCTTCAATAAACAAGTAAAATAAAACAGCAGTTAAGAAGACTGGTAAAAGAATAAGGCAACCTAAATTTATGATCTAAGAACTACATTTCTTGCATTCCGCCTGCCATGCAACTCCTCCGATGCAGCACCAGTAGAAAAAAAGATAGAAAACAAAAAGAATGGAAGAAGAAGAGAATAATTGGGAGATCTCAAATCTCAACTCCCTATTCAAACTCTTGGAGAAAAAGAATAAAACACTAACATATCACCAATTGTGTAATTATATGAGCTCTCAAAACCTAAGAAAAGCCCATACGAATAATGCTGCAGTGAACTAATAACGATTCTCTGCCTAAGGTAGCTAAGCCTAAAATCCTTACACAGTGGTCATCCATTAAACACATTGCCTCCCTTACAAAGAATTAGAGTATAATCAGAATGGTGCTACTAACTAAGCTCCTCATATATATATAAAACATTGAACAAGAAAGACATACCCACATATTCCACCAGTACTCATATCAAATCCACCATCAAGAAGCTCTCCATCATTAGCATAAGTAGGTTTTGCCATCTGGGCAAGTTGTTGATAGGGGATAAAGTAAGCAACGGATGTCAAAACTAGACCAACCCAATGTTTCCATGTGAATGAGGAATGGAAGATCAGCATCCTAACCAAGACAAATATAACCTAGATAAACAGAAAATCAGAACATCAAACCAATAAATTAAGATAGTTAATAAGTAACAAATGCAACTATCAAGACAAGAAAATAAAATAATACTTACAACCCAACAACCACCCCTTCCCCTCTTTCTTCAACATCAACTAAAAAGTAACAACAGCAAAAACTTCAATATGGTTGTATGTCAAACAAAAGCAAACTATGACCAGGTTACACATGCCACAAAATGAAAATGCCAAATGTTCAACTAATAAAGGCCATACATAGCATATTTTTGTTACTATGAGATTAATAAAGAAAAAAAAATCTGATGTTCAAAACTACCGAGATAAACACTAAGACTAGGTTCCAACTTTCATTTGTTATGACTTACAAAATCACCATTGTTTAGTAACCAAGCTTGCATGTCATTGGCTTATGCCTGTGGAGTGTGGACTCACAGTCAGTAGTGAATTACTTAATTACGCAGCTAGCCACAGCTTTCAAAGTTATTAAATTTCAATTATATGAGAATAATGTATGCATACACAATAATCACACATATGGAGAAACGAGCAGCCGGACCATAACAATGAACTAAGGGTGCATTTCGAATGTGTACAGTAATCGGAAAATCCAATTCAATTCCAAATCAATCCATGCCATCTATAACTATTAAGTTTTGCCTTTCTTAAATGTACATCAAAATGTTATCACTTGAGCATAAACATACTCCTTAATGAATTCAGTCATAAACCTAATTCAATCAGAATCTAACACTTTTAATTAATTTCAAAACTAACAAGTGCTTAAGTAAATGAAGTAGGATTTCAAAAGTTAAGGGAAAATGATTAATAATAATAATAATAATAAAATGATGAGAACGTACATTGCAGGCAATGATGATGCGACGGAGATTCGCCATGTGCCGAGTATTCTCTTCCTTTCGCTTCTTGGCACCTTGATTTGCCATTTCTCTCTCTTTTTCCGGGGAGTGGTACACGAGTTTGACTTGGTGAAACCCTAAGGAAGTGCCGGCGTGTTGAAGAACCGAAGCGGAGAGGAGAGGAGAGCAGAGGAAAGTGATAAAAAGCCTACAACGGTGCCCGAAACGACAGGGTTGTCTTGGCCCAACCCAAAATAGATCATTGAAGACACAATTCCAAATTTCCACTATTTACTATATACATTATTCAGTTTTGACAACTGGGAAAACTGGTAATTACATGTTTGTTGGTACTAGTGCTGACTGCTAGTTCTAATTAATTAAGATCCATAATCAATGAAAAACGGGGAGATCCAAGTTACTGGGAGACTTGGGTTTGAGACGGTGGTCCTCTTTTGTTTGGGTGCTACTCTCAAGAGAGGGATCCCTTAAATAAGGATACATACATTTTATTATTGAATTTTGTATTAAAGTGTATTACTCTCTCGGATTTGGGACATTTTCATGAAGAATATAAGATGGGTAATCGGGGATGGTTGTCGGCAAGATTTTAGTACGACACTTGGCTTGGGGAATGGCCTTTGTGTAATGCGGTAAAATTGATAGGTTTTAATATAGCCCATTATAGCTCCATTAAGGATTATTTGTTGTCCAATGATGAATGGGATATACCTCAACTTACTAACATATTATCTGCTAAGGAATTACAATTATTATTCAATTCTATTGCTCCTATGTCGACCATTACATTCGATAAGCTGTTTTGCCCTTTTGTAAGATGGAATTAGTCAATTTTTATTAGAAAAGTCAAAGTTAAAAAGAATAAAAGTTAAAATTTTTTAAAATTAATATATTAAATTTAATCATAAATAATTAAAAAATTTATAATAGATAATAATTTTATTTAATATATAAATTAAAAAAATAAAAAAAACTTATAATAGTATTTTAAAAATGTTTTGTTGAACGATAGTAATATTTTTTTTAATATAAACAAATAAATTATATGTAAGAAACTTATCATCCATTTTATTTTAGAATCTTATCTTTTTCAATATAAATAATTAAAAATTAATATAATTAGTATTTAATATTTTTATTTTATTATATTTAAACTTATAATATTAAATATTAAATTATAATATATAAAATATAAATAGTTAAATATGATATACAAAATTAAGAATTTCTTCTTATACTCAAGATAATTTCCTTTCAACTAAATATAAAACGTAAAGTACATTAAAAACATATACTCAAGATAATTTTTTCTTATATACTTAGGATTCATAGAAAATAATATATTGGTGAAATTTTAAACAATAACCAATAATGCAACTTTAGAACTTATATTTGAAAATTACATATATAATAATTTTTTAATTTTTAAAAATAAAAATTATTAAAAATAAAATCCACATAACAGAAAAAAAAACATGACAAGTAAAATTTAAGACCTACATAAAAAAAAAAGAATATAGTTGATGATTCAAATAAATTTTAAAAAAAATCTGTAGAAACTTAAAACATATAAGTAAATAGAATAGAATTAAAAAAATAAATAAATATAAATAAAAAAATTAAATAATAACTTTACTTCTTTATAAGTTTATAATATAAGGACAGAAAAGAAGAGAGAGAGATGGGTACGGAAACTAAAAAATTAAAAAAAATTTGAATAAAATTGAATGAGATTTATAAGGTTATTTTATTATTTTTTAATTATATTAATTATTTAATAAAAATTATTTTAAAAATTATTAAAAATATATAATATATAAAAAATTTTAAAAATTTTGGAGGAGCTATGACCATGACAAGGAGACGCTCCGCCCCTGCTCATCAGTGTATGAAATGTTACGGAAAAGAAATTTAGCTACTGAAAGTAATTGTGAGGTTTGGTTTGGAAATTAGCCTGGCAGCGGAGAGGCCCCCAGTTGATCGGAACCTTCCTTTTACAATGTATGTAGCAACGTTTACTGACTAACAATGAGAAGGTTCATAGGCACTTGTCAAATGACGATATTTCTCCACAATCTCGTGATGGGGAGGAGACATTTTACATATATTGCGTGGATGTCCTACAGCAATGTCAATTTGGAGTTGTTTTTACCTCAAGGCGAGATCACTCAACTTAGTATTCCCTTTTGCTTCGATTGGATTGTTTTTAATCTGAGCAGCAAGTTGCAAGTTAATAATTTTCTACAGCCTGTTATATTTAGAGTTGTCTGCTTTTGTTTTTAAGGTAAAGTATTAGCTTTGGGGGTTCCTATAAATTTGATATTCAGCTTTGCTCCAGCTGTACAAAATGCCTCTAGAATACATTGGGGAGAGACAGCTTCATCCATGATCAGGCGTGAGGAAATTCTTTTAGGTTGATCTCATCCATCAAATGATTGGATTGTATTGAATTCTGATGGTGCATATAAAAAATCTATTGGACAAGCATCTACTGGTGGTGTACTACGTGACTCAATTGGCTAATGGCGTGGTGGTTTTACTACTAGATTGGGTGTTTTCATTGCATATTGAGCAGAACTGTGGGGTGTTTACAAAAGTTTGAAACTTGCCTGAATTTGGGTTTTCGTAAGATTATTTTACTTAATTAATTAATCACACTTAACTTAATATGAACTTATTTAATTTAATTGATGGTTATTAAATTATGTTTATTCTTTCAAAAAAAGTTATTAATTATGTTTATTTTATGACAATATTTGATTTTGATTTTTGAATATGATAATTTTGCATGCCTCCCTTAAAATCTTAACAAATGAGATCTTAAAATATTTTTTAACAAAATCTTTATTTAATTTAAACTCTATTGATTATTTTTTTTATCATTCACTTTTTGCTATTAGTTTTTATATATATATATATAATTAAGAGAAAGAAGTTTCAACATAACTTTTTAAGTAAGAAGATAATACACCAATCAATGAGTTAAATACTCAAATGCTGCTGTTAATTATTTATTTATAAAAAATTTATGCAAAAACAAGACGAATGAAAAAAATAAAATTATCGTTATTAAAAAAGAATATTAACACATTTTATATTTTAATCCTTTTTAAACCTTTTACATTTGAAAGCAAGAAATAAAAGTTAGCTTAAAGGATCCGACATTATCCAGAATATAATATTGAAATGAAAAGATTTAATTAATACACGTAGCATTAGATGGAAACTTAGGTGGTTCTGTGCGTCACAAGATGGTGGCCCTGGGAACATTTAGCACCAATACTATTGTCGCATTTATCGCATCTCTAGGCAATAGCTACCTTTTAATTAATTAAATGTCTCCACACTCTCCTACTATCTTCGATTTTGATTTTTCCAGGTTATTTTATTAGTAGTAATAAAATAATATAAATTCAATAATTAATGGTTTTTTTTATTAGAGATTCAAATTCGAAATCTCATTTCATCTTCATTATGTGAATTAAGTCCTAATGTACATGGAAAACCTTAAATTCACATTTATGCAATTTATGGATTTCTTTTTCTTTTCTTTTTTGGCTAAAATATATTAAACAAAAATTGAATTATGAATTGAGCGTATATTAAAAAATTTATGAAAACCATAACTCATATTATTTTGTCTAAAATTTATTTTTATATAAGTACTAATGTTGAAAATTTTTTTGATTAAAAATATATATTTAATTAATTCTATTTTTAAATTGATATTTAAATTATTTTTACAATAAATATTATTAAAATTTATCCAATTTTATACATATAAATTCTAATTGCATTGAACGACTCTGGTTAAAAAATGTTTTACTAAATTTAATAGTAATGAATAATTTTATTTTTTAAAATTTTATATTTTTAAAAAATATATATTCTTTAAAAATAAATGAAAAATATTCATATACAACAGACATGATAATAAATATTATTAATAAAGCTTTTCAGAAAAAATAAATATTATTAATAAAAAGAATACAGAACTTGGAGCACGTCTATTTTAAATTTTATAGTAAAACTTTGGGTTTGATGAAATAAATATTCTTTTTTAATTATATTTTTAATTATCATTTTTAAATTTTTTATTATATATTTAATAAAATTCAATTGATAACTATAAATTTCAATTCTAACGAAAAGAGTACTTTCATTAAATGAATTTATTTTATGATTAAAAAAGAGTTAAAAATTACATTAAATTGCTTTATCTCAAGAGTTTTAATTTTACACTAGAGGATACCAAAGTTACCCAGTAGGATTTATAATAGGTAAAGACTTTTTTATAAAAATATCATGATTTTCTTAAATAATTAAGCAATATGTATTTTACAAAAAAAATTTAATGTTTAATGTTAAAAATTGTAAATAATATTACATATCACAGTAACAAATTGAATATATCATATATGCATCTTTAGTTTATTAATGTTAATTAACCTTTTACATATGTACAAAGATAACTTTTTACATAATATACAAAAAGTTGTTATATGTCCAATGATAAATGTTGGTATATGCATTTTAACTAATTGGATTGATCAAGGAATATATATTGTCATTTAATGCATACTTAATCTCATAAATATATGTGATAGAGGTTTTTCTTCATGTTAGTGTAGTAATATGAAGCTATTAAGTACTAATTAGATGAAATCTATGAAATATAAAGGCCTAGTAAGAAAATTATAAAGTTATTACAATTATAAGATCATTATGTATTAAAGCCATATTTCTAAAATTATTCTTAGTCATTGTATTGTCAAGACAAAACGTTGACAATGCTCAAAAAATGGTATAAGTTAAATCTCCTCATTTGAAAAGTAAGCAATCAATCTCATAAATTGAAATATATGATATACTTGAGGATAACATGTAAGAGCTTGTTAAAAAATAAGTTTACTGAACATAACCCACTATGAAAACTATATTTGGTATTTCACTCAACTGTCTATGAAATATGTTCTCATATGATAGTCATGCAACTAGTCTTTGGATTTGAAATACCAAATCATCTTGTATGGGAAATGACATACTTTGATTTTATCTCTACGAGTCTAGAAGTAACTAGATGTTTAAATATGGTGTTTTTGAGTATGCCATGAAGCATGCGAAGATAAATGAGTGGTTAATAGAGAATTTATCACCTTAAGTGATATGGCAAGATGCATCTCACTTGTTCTCAATTTTTAATTAACTTGTATAAAATCTTTGGTCCAAGTATGATGAATTTGAGAAAAATTAATTTCTTAAATTCATAAGGTTAGACATGAATCATGAGAACTAATATGGAATATTATAAGTATATATTGAGTCATGTTTTATGACATACTATGAATATTTGATGAAAGGACCATATTGCATTGAGAAGTTTATCACTAAAGGGTTTTGCAAATTCTTTAATTGA